TAAAAGGTGGTAACAGAATATTAGATCAGTTTCCTGTAAATTAAGGACTAACGTCACTAACTCTTTAAGATCTATGCCTTAAAGCAGCTGAAAAGGAAATGTCCTGGAATGGGAATTGAAATGGGCGACCCATGCTTATAATAGTGATCATAGAAAATGACAAAGGAAGTTGCAATAGATGGCGCGAAGACTACCCAGAAAACTAAGTACCTGCCCATAGGAACGGAATCGTCTAATATCCAATTGGAATCAGATGGTTCTTGGATGAATTGGACTGTCTAAGCAGTATTTTTTGGAACCAAGAAATTGAAAAATAAAAGGAAAGTTTACGATTAATGAGTCGCTTATTATGAAGAGTCTGCTTTATGGCGCAGATATATGGAGAGTCACGAAAAATAAACGAAGAAAGTATTAGAAATGAATATATTCAGACCATCACTAGGAACATCCAGAAGAGAAACGATTCGTAACGGGGTCGTACCTCAAAAAATGGGAGTAGAAGGTTCTTTAACAAATGACATCGATAGAAAGCAACTCATATGATATGGCTACGAACAAAGAATGGAACAAGCGAGACTACCAAAATCGGTTATGGAGCGGGTACCGACAAACCGTAGAAAACCTGGACGATCAAAAAAGACCTGGATAAAAGGAGTGTCGAAGGCAACGAGTTCAAGAGATCTGAGAGAGGGACAATGTCGTGGAGCGTTCTTAATCCGATATATAAAAAAATTGCGATTTGGGTAACAATCGTATAACAAAAAACATGTATTTGTTTAACAAGGGAGAAAACTGGAAATATCCGCGCATTTGCATAATATTTGCGTTTCATATTCTTGGTTAGGTTATTGACGGAATGCATGTGTTGTACTATTCGAGCCATATATTGGAGATAGGTACCAAGAATTGTATCTGAAAAGGATAGAAACTGTGTTATTTTATTTAAAGCAAAAAATTTTCTCTTCTGTTTTGCTTTTTGCCCTATATTTGATAATTTAGTGATCCCTATGATCCTTGAGAAATTGCTAAAAGGCTTGAAAAATGTATTACGCTATACTTTAATTGGTAAATGGGTAGAAAAACGAAAACGTAGTGTTTCTATTAGATGCTGCGTCTATAGGAAGAAATTTGCCAACAAAATCGTCGCATCGGCAACGCCGCGGCCCTGTTACGAGACCCGTGTCCAGTATTGTTTGTACTAGGATAATGTTGCGATTTTTTTAAACGCCTGAGATATAATTATTAAACTTTTGCGGCATAAAGTATGACATGGTTCGGCTTTGTTAAGCTATTTAAGGAACATGATTTGATCTCGCTTGGAGGCGGCTCGATAAAATTGGACTTGGTCAGATAACAGATTTAGCAGTTGTCGCAATGCCAGCGACATGTAGAGGCAATTGCGGCACTCGATCTCGGCCATGGACAGCGACAAATGGCCCATTTTAAGCTTATAACCGCCGTTTTTGAAATATCCAATGCAGTAATTTAATCATTTCAAAATAATATGATGTGTGTGAATATGATAAAATTGGGAAAAAATCAAAATTTGCGGGCATAAATTTTTACTCCTTAAAACGGGCAAGAAGTAGGACCGATATTTAGTGTATTTTATTTTATTAATCATAATTTCTTTTTTATGATTTTTTCTATGTCTTCTTTCCAGCTGATCTTTTTGACAACTTATTTTACTCGAAAGACTTTAGTGATAGCCACCGCAGTTTTTTTACTAAAAACTGTAAAACCGTCAAACTAGTCTTGACGACATTAATTTTTAGTTCATTTGAAAGCAATCAAATGAAACTCTCTGATCCTCCACCAGACACAAAGTAATTTTTTCTTTCATTTGTCAAGTTTATGCAATAAAGTTGAATGACCACTCAGTATTGAGCATTTCTTCTAAAATCACGGAAGATCTTACGAAAAAGCGTTAATTTAAATACATTATAAACGCAGTTCAAAAACGGTAACACTTGAAGTACCACTGTGGATCTTGTCAATCATGTTTCAAAAGCATAGATCTGAGGAAAGGCTTTTGATATATTTATTTTTGATATTTTATTAAATAAATTGGAAAACCTATTAATTACTGGAGCTCTGCTTAATTTATGAATATTAAAAGTGATGTACGGTCAAATTCACCCTGAGTGCCGCAAGGTTCGGTCTTGGGGCCTTTGTGACCTCTCTATATGTTCTATATGTTGTACTTTCAGTTTACCTTACGGCTTCCTTCTGCGAAAAAACTCCAAGGTTTTTACATTTGTCGACAAATTCAAGCGGAGTACCATTCAAGGAAAGTTTCAGATCATTATTCTTGATAATTTCCTCTTTTTATTGCCAAAAAGAACAATCTGGGTCTCGGAGTCATTTAATATCGGATCTTTGTTTATGCCATTGAAGGACAAAGCTACATCTTTGACCGAGAATGATAAGTATATTTGCCTATCATTGACATACTGATAAGAACAACATTTATTAAGGTGGATCCCAACGTAAACCTCTGGCGGCGACCTCTCAAGTAACTTTTCATAAAAGTAATTGCACTGTCGTTAAAACCGGAGAACTTTAACTTAAAAATAAGAAGATTATGATTTGAGGTATCGAAGGTCTAGCTATAATCCAACACAATCAAATTGTAATTGTTGATGTGAATGTAAATTAATACTCAAAATGCAGAAAACTAGAGCTTCTACACGAGTTCTACCTTTTATTTTTCCCACATCGCTTTTTAAACTCATCAATCGCTTCTTCTGGTTTGAAAAATCGATGCCCACGTAATTTATTCTTAATATATCGGAATAAAAAGAAGTCATTAGGTGCTACATCAGGACTATATGGTGGATGGCTCATCAAATCAACGTTGTTAATGCTCACAAAGTTTTTTGTTTGTACTGTCGTCGTGGAGAGTGATTCGTCTTCGGCGGTTGGTTTTTCTTTTCTTTGGTCTTTACCTTTCACGAAAGAAACAGTTGCAATATGGCCAGAAAAAACAGGATACCATTTGTTTCGAGGTGCTTCGCCCACGAACAACTTTTGTGGGCTTTGTATCATCCTGAAAGACCCACACAGTCGACTGCTGCTTACTTTCAGGTTCAGATACATAGATCCATGATAAATCGCCTGTCACGATATCATAGACGTGTCATAGCGTACCACTGGTAATACCCGGTTTCATTTCTGGTGATATTTTACAAAGCATGAAGGATGTAAATGCGCATTACACTTATTGCAAGCGTAAATTGTGTGGCTGTGGCAGATTCTACATCTCCTTCGGGTTTTATTAGCATGAAAAATCATGAGGTGACCTTGATTTTCATAACGCACTTCACTTATGGCATGTGCAAGATTTATTTGAGTAATTGAGTTGGTTCCCCAAACTCTTGTAGATTTATGTTATCATTCATATCTTCTTCGTCAGTTAGTCAGTTATTTTTAGAATAAATTTACAAGGAATTTAATGCTGCAATACATAAGAATACGTAAATCCAAACAATACTTACGACTTTCATTGCTATTGTCCTCATCTAGCACGATCTGTAAAGGCCACAGACGCTCAGTTTTTTAATACAGGCCGCCTGTGCAAACCTAGTTTGTGCAGGCATATCGGTGCGTTTGTGTGAACGTCAGGCCGACTGCGCAGGCCGTTGACCTGGCCTGAGCAAAATCAGACCGTGCTTGAATTTGGCCCGCGCAAACTTGGAAACCTGAGCGTGTGTGGACTCGTTCAGTTGATTTGTTCAGTTTTAAGGTTTATTTACAATCCAAAAAGAGTGAGCAACAAAATGACGAATGTTAACAAACAGTTTTTAAGCGAATTTATTGAGGTATACGAAAGCTTACCATGTGACCAGTGACAGAAATAAAAAATCCGCAGCCTATGATGTGTTGGTCAGAAAACTCAAAGAGGTTGATACGGGAGCAAATAGGGAAGCCGTGGTTAAGAAATAAATCATTTAAGGAGTTCATTTATTAAAGAATTTAAAAAAGTATTGAAAAAATTCAAAGTAAGTGGGACCGGTACAGAAGATATTTAATACTCCAAACCCTTATTATTATATTATGAATTGCTGATCTTTTTAAGTGATCAAGAGACATCACATGCCTCAACGAGTAACCTAGACGATGAAGAACATGGAATAAAGATAATAGGATATTATTGAAACACTAATACGGTCAGTCAAAAAAGTCCCATCTTTGGTCCATTTGCTTCTTTGAACCAACCGTTGCTTTTTTTGAGAAGCCATTTTCTTTTACTAAGTATAGAAAAACCGTGGCAAAACTAGTGAGTGTGAATTTACCCAGTTGGCTGTATAGAAAGAACTGCGCTATAAAACTGCGTGTGTGTGTTACAGGTAATAGTACATTTCAACTGCACAAATTGGCCTGCACAGTTGGCCTCTGCTAAAAAAACAGCGTCTGCGGGGGCTTTAACGATTGTAACGTTCACTGCACAAGGCACAAACTAATACTAAAGAAAACGCTAATTGTTGGATCTTTATTCTACATGCGCTGACTTGTCTAGACTTGCAATAAAAAAGTTTCGTTTCACAGATAAAACCAGTGGTGCATTCACGCACCAGTAATTATTTTCAAAAAATAAAGCAAATTTATGTACCGCTTTTATTAACTTTTGAAGTCATATATAAGCTATTTCCTTTACACCTAAATTGGCGATTTCTACGGAGATAATAATAAAATTTTTAAATGTATGTGCAAAAATATTTTCTGGATGTGACAAAAAAAATTCATAGAATAGGTGGTGCATTAACGCAGCACTAGGACAAAATGGGTTAAGAAAATCCGGAAATATAAAAGGCAACAGATATTTCTTGTCAAAATTATCTGTAAAGTAATTCATCATATCAATGTTGGTGTACTATTTTACTGCTCGAGTGGCAGTAAAGGATGTGGCGGTTCCTCTTCCTTCGACGAAAGTCGCGATTCGACGCCGCCGTCGCCGTCGGCAGGTAGCAAGCCCCTCCGGGTCTCGCCTCCCTCAGGTGCTTCGGTCGGAAAGCCTCGGGCACTTTCGGTAGGTCGCCGTGTCTCGCTCGATCCGCTGTCAGTGTGCACGCTCCTTCCGCGCTAGATGGTTGGTCATTCCGTTGGTAACCTCTCGTTGCGTCTCCGGAATATCTTCGCGAATATCTGACACCTCGACGATCAGCGACTCTTTCTCTCAATTATCGTTTTTCTCGCGTGTGCCCGCGTCCGTGTGCCGTCATCGAAGTGAATAATAATAATATGGGCCCGCGGGCCTCCCAGACTTTGTGTCGGGTGATTTTCTATCCGAACAGACGATGGAATCGTCGCGATTCGACGTGAAACGCTGCGGGCACTTGGTAGCGGACGAACCGAAAGTACCGGCGGTGCGATGTTGACGTCTTTCAGACCACGTACGTAGTTAAACGATACGAGGAGATAGATAGGTGATTCCCCTTTGGGGGGGGGGGGGGGGGGCGCCGGCGAAGGTGTCCCGAAGATTTGTTTTCGTATATTTCGAATTTTTACCCCGGAAGATTAACGTTCGGGTTCGTCGAAACCAGAATGGGTTGACGTTGTTTTACTACTTTTATGAGAAATAACGTTTTCTCTCGTTCGAATCGGAACAGATGTGTCAAAGGTGCCCTTATTAGAGTACATGCATTTTTGGTTCAATGAATCAATTTTGTCCTAGCCGCTAGCAATTAGCCAGAAACGCTGTCCAGCTCAGGAAGATACATTTTAATGTTGGTTATTGCGCAAACAATTACTTAAGGGAACCTCCCCGTCATCGTCGTTATTAATTTTGTATTTCTCAAACCACTGAACCGGAGGTATCGTCTGAATCAAACTCATCTTCCGATTTTATCAGACCTGCATGTCGACAGCAGTTTGAAATAGTGGTCGAAGTAACATGTGTGGAGTCTATTATAGTGATGTATTGTATTTTAGTCTCCAGCTCTCTGTTCATTTTATCAGCGGTTTCTTTAAAGTTCCTGCCTGAGACAGAAATTAATGTGTCATCCACAAATAAATTCGTAAAAGATCCCTTGAAAACCACGCGTATCCGGATGTTAAATTTAATAATAATGTAATTTAATTTAAATTTTACTTTAAACATTACTAAGTAAAATTTTATGTGCTATGGATAGTTTAGACTTTTTAGAATTTGTTCTATAAAAGATCGAGTTTTGATTAAGTCTGCCGTTCTATAGTCTATACTATTTTATCAAGAAATTAATCATTTTTGCACTTCGCTAGGTTTTCAAACATCGAAGAACATTTTTCATTACTTCGCGATTAATTATAATATATTATAATAATTATGGCAACACTGTACAAATCTATCCATAAAAGTTTTAGGCAGTATTTTGTTTTTCTCTAAGATTTCGTACGTAGTTTTGAATGGCTCTTAATTATGTATTTCAAGCTACCTTCGTATGTCTAAAAATTATAATTAAAGGTAATATCCTAAAACCATTGATTTTTTGATATTCTAATAGCTTGCCATGATGTGTATAAACAACAACTAGAATAAGATTATAATTTCTTGGTCTGTGGAAAAGAACTACATAATTATAAAAAGCGAATGTTCACTTTGCTCGGATTGGTGCGGATTAAACAGCATCGGATGTATATAAGTCGATCAACCTATAAGCAGTCAATGTCAAATCAAAGCCCGTAACGAGCCGGAATCGTATCTATCGCATTTTTAAATGTTGATTCACGAACTGACGGTCCTTTTCCTCTAAACTCGTTTAAATAATCACTTTCAGTTTTAATTGTCGTGTAAATTCCGCCGGTGTTACACTGCAATCGCAATCACACCGCAAAATGTTATTAAGAAAGGTTATTGTTTAGAATTTACCTTTTTTTCATTGCATATTAAACTTGTTTTATCTTTATTTTTATCATTCACAACTCTTAGTTCTAAAGCACTTTTCTTAATATAATCGCAATGAACTCCTTGAAATATTTGTCCCCTTTGATATTTTGACGTATTTTAATTTTTTGTTTAAATTGCGAGGTTGTTGTTGTCCAAATAACTTATCAACCCTTGAAACCACTTCACTTTGTTCAATAAATAAAAATAAACAATTATCTTTCCAGAAGGATGATCTCTCATATCTATATCTATTTTTCAGTCGTCTTCTGCCTGTTAAGGTTGTGCTTATGTGTATATGCAAATTAATTAAAAGCTGTACTATTGATTTTCCAGATTTTTTAATGCATAGGTAAAAATGTGCAGATAAAAATTTCCTGACGAACAAACAAGACATTGAGGTCATTAATTCTATCGTTGATAAATTGAATTGTAGCTTATTTTTGTCATTCTCGCGAAAAACGGTTGAATTTGAATATATTATATATATTTACATATATTATAACACTTACTATTAAAAAAAGGTTCGGTAGTTTAGACAAAATTCATAAAAATTTCATATATTTTCAAAATTTGGTCTTTAACTATAGGAATTAGCGACACAAAATTGGCCAAAAAAGGCATAGAAGGTTTATATCGTCATCTCAATATTCCTGTATTCTCGGCGTAGGCAAAGCCTCTATATTACCTTTTAGTTCTATGGAATATTTTTTGTGTTTTGTGGTAATCTTAAATTAAAATCAAATTATAAATATATATGAATATTTTTTCTTGGTTGCGAATACTTTTTTATTATTTTTTGTTACTTTACGTTTAAAATTATAGGACCGAGAATGACACAATAATGTTACGTTACCTCGTGATTTTACAAAGATTTCACTTCTTTCACAGAACTGCTACACCAGATTTCACCCATGAATCTTCCCAAATTAATATAAATTATTTTTCGCATTGCCTTGTACTTTTATTAATAAATAAGTGAAGTAATATTTATTCATCTATTTATTTTCTGTTAAATTATTTTTATAACGGTATTTGAGTTAACGAGCAATTTCTTTAAAAAAAATGTTAGAAAATTTAATTAGGGCTATTCGAAAATGCAAAAATGTACAGGGAGTTTAATTTTAAAAAATTGAGTAACATTTTGCGGCACATTGCAATACCGCGTATGTGATAAAAATTCTTCAATTCTGAATATTTTCGGAGAAGACGTGTTAATTTCTAATATATGTTACAAAGAAAAATGTTGAATATATGAATATTTCTATACATCATTGGATTCATCTGGTAAATGGGTAATTAAAAAGCCATATTATATAGGGTGTACTTTTTTTAAGTTATTTTATTTGACCACCCTGTATATGACAGTGGCAATTGAAATAACAGAAAAAAAATTAAATATCCTTTTACTGGAAATAACTATTGTATTCAAACTTTTTTTTAAAACACTCATAGATTTAGAGATAAGGTATAGACCCCTTTTAAACCTTCCACCCTATATATAGGCCTATTAAAAAAATTGCATCAGTGTATTAAAATTCCACATATCCCATAAACGTGGGTGTGAATAGATCCTTAGCAAAGACCAAATTCCTAGCAATTCGTACATATTCTTCCGTATCAAGTTAAATTAGACCCACCCTTGGCTTGATACGGTGATCATTTCTTACGACAAAGGGTTTTTTCCACCAGCGTGCGGCGCTATCGTTTTCCCATAACCTTGACCTTCCGGCTTGGCCACCGCGGCCGTCCGTCGCCGTCTTGACACCTTTTTTCGTCCGACCGGGGGCCCATCTTCTCTTTTTTATTCAGCGCGCCGTCCACCGCGTATTTTTTTCTTCTCTTGTCCCGTTCCCCCCGCTCCGCCGCTTTTCGACGGTCGATCGAGGCGCTAGTTAAGGACTTGGACCTGCTGCGAGCTGGGCGCCTCTTTGTAGGTGCCGCTCGCGCGATGTGGGTGAGCCCCACGGAGGTATGTGTATAAGTCCGAAATTGGAAATTCGACGCCTCTCGAAGACACTGACGCGGACGATTTTTTTTCCCGGGAGGTCAACACCTTATTATGCAAATAATCCCGCCGATGTGCCTAGCGAAAGGGTCACCGACGTCGATAGGGTCGTGGCATTTTGGTTGGCGGGTGGCGAGAGGGAGGGGTAGACGTCAAAGAAAAGCTGAGGCTGATGAGGCAGGTTCCAACCGCGTGAACACCAAAAGGCCCTAGCATTACCAGGTGTCTTACCAGAGACAACTGTGGTCCAAGAATGAGATATTCCTACTCAGAATATGTTGTTGGACGTTCAGGTTATTGTATGTGGCTTCTCCCATCATGTTCAACCAATGTCCTTTAGATCTTTAAGCTCCTGGATATATGACTGACCGTTTCCCGAATCTTTATACATATAATCCACTTACCGAAAGACCGATTTTGTGCGTATGGTGTTAGGTATATATCCTTATCTAGATCTAGAAATTCCGGTAACTCATTTTTCATTTTCGTTATCTCCGTCTTTATTCCTAATGGGGCAAATCCGTTGTAAAGCCAATGGAAGTTTGACAATCTCTTAATGTTTCTACTTAATCATTGTCTACCACTTTCAAACAATCCGTCTGTGAACCATAATCGCTGTCCTGTCCACGGTATATCAGTGTTGTTGAAGCTTCTCATCCATGAAAGGTAAGTTCGACGTAATCGCATGAGGTTAGTGTCATCTAATACACTTTCTAGGCTGTAATCCTCCATAGATCTCATAGCGAGTACAGATAATCTAGCTTTACTTGTGAGCCAAGGATCGGAACGTCTAGCACCGCATTGAATCGTTTAAGATCGATGTAGAAAAAAGCATGTGGTTATTGTTGACGTAACCCGATCTGTATATAGAAAATGAAAGGTATAGGATAGGAGACTATCGTGCTTCTGGACTTTATTCCTACCAAGTGAGACAGAAGAGACTAGTATGACCGAGTCCGTCCAACCAACGAGTTTTGAAATTGAATTCAACGCTAGCGAGCTAGCTAGCGACTTAATAGAGAATCAACTTCTGCGTTCGAGGAAAAGCTTTGGTTAGATTCGAATTTGAAACATTTATTGCTAACAGAATAAAAAATGTTTGCCCTAAAGGAAATTTTATTAAAAAGATAGCTAGGTGATTTATTTTTAATGATCTTAAAATAAAAAGATGTTATATGCAACTTGAATCTAATTTAATTTTCATATTCTAAGGGAGTATAATTAAAGCAATTACGGTGCAGACTTTGCGATTGCTCGGACGGACGCAAGTTTAAAAACTGTTTATATTTACGCGCCTTTCAGAAAATAATCCATAATAATATAGGCGTTCGCTGTTCATCCCTTTTTCGGCTTCTTAAAATTGCACATTTCATTCCTGAAGCTAATTTTCCCATTTATCTCTCGTTTCAGAGGCGCACGTGATGGTCGGAGCCGCCTCGGCGGGATGGGGCGGGGGCTGGTGCCTTCCCCGCAGGCTCACGCAGCCGCTGGCCACCGGTTTCCACCGATTCCTAGCCAGATTCTCAGGTCAGTAACCCTACGGGCGCCAAAGACGCCTAAGGCGCCGGATCGACGTCGGGAGCTCCGAATTTTTCTCGCGTGCCATTAATTAATTGCACATAACAAAAAAAAAAAAGCGAAAAACAGGCATCCGTCTTTGGAGTTATGAGTATGCAAGTATCCCTTCCAATAATTTCAAAAATATTGGATTATAAGCTCAAAGATGCGGATTCCGTTTATATTTCGGCCACAAATATAGTGCTTAACTTTGTCTACTCTTTATTACTCCAAAACTGCGGCCCATTATAGAACACCCTGCCGATAATGGAATGATTATCCGTAACCGTTCCAGGACCGCCCTAGGAATTTATCTTCCTACACTAGCAAGCGGGATATAAGTATGTTTTCAATTTTTTTTTGCCTAGCAATTCATGAGACATGTACATAAAAAAATTAGTACAAAGTAACAATTTATTATGTTCTATTTCATTACATTTCCATATAGTATCATTATTAATATACAAAATATTAAATAATTAAATAAAAATCGTCACTATCACTGCCGTCTGCTTTCTTCAAAAAAGTACGCAACCACCCTTGGGCATAACTAATGTTTTAGTCAGTACTTTTTCATGCAGCCCTTCTAGGGTTAAAACACAAGTTTCTACAAATATTCGTTACGGTCCATCTCCGGCAAGACCTACTTAATGTAGAATAAATCTCTTGGAATGGATTAAGCAAAGCAAAAAATACACCATTTTCTGGTCGTATTATAATAATATTAATTCAGTTAATATTTATTTGGATTGCAATAATCTGGGCGGGACCAGCCCCTCTCGCCACTTTGCTTTTGGAGATAGAGTAAGAAGCATCTGACAACAAAGATTTTAATTTGTTTCATCTTTAAAACAGTTTGCACTATAAGTATCAACGTTTACAGTTTAATTCAATTACGCCCTCTGGTTTCCACGTCAAAACATCAAAAATAATTTTTGGGAATATCCGTTTTCGCAATCCCGTACGTCGTTGACTGGGACACCCGGTATAATTGCATGTTCCAATTCTTTGTTGTTGCTATTACTATAACTCACTTCCCCTTTTATTCAATTTTTAACCATAGTTGTACAAATTGCCTGGACATATAATATAAAATATTAAAAATCATCCAACAACCATAAAATAAACACGCACAAATGAGAACACAAAATTAAAACACGCCACTGCTGGTTGCCTAGGAGAGGAAACCACAAACCCGTGAGTATCTTTTGAATATTTTGTTGTCATTATCGCTCCCTATTTATTACAGCCACCGCCTAAAATCAAATTTATCGACATTTTATGAATGACAACGTCCACAACAAAATTCATTTTATAACGAAATAGGTAGGGCTTACAGCTGATGATGGGAATAAAACTGATTTAAGCTGACTGAATTCACTATGCAATTTGGGCTCCTACCTCTAGCCTACTTATGTGATACAAAAATACTTTAAACCTACAGCATCGCGGACCTGGCTTCCTGAGCTCACGGCCGCAGAGCGGCTCAGTAATGTCCGTAATGGCCCTACCATATCTTTTTTTGTTGCATTGGTGTAGCAGAAAATATTTGTACTGATCTCTTTTATGATGTAAAACTGTTCAAATGGTTGAAATGAAACAAAAATTTTAAAACATTTTCGCTATAATTCCCTTGTATTTGACGTACAATCCACAGTGCCTTGTCCAACTAAAAGCCTATAATGATAACATTTTTTATTTTTATGATAAACAATAACCTCTTCCTTCATGCACCTTATTAGGAGTTAGCAGTGTTTTTTTAATAAACGTCAAATAATCCACAAATTACCAAGAAGGGTCATATACCTACTGCCACTTTGATTTATATATTGTTATTTAATATTTATTGGTGGTACCTATTAGCGTATACAAAGGTAGTAGGTTACCTACCTAAAAAATATAAAATACTTGACTAATATCCTTTGTTTGTGCCGAACTATATAACCAAACTAATATCTAGTTCAATGTTCTGTCGATAGCTTTGAAAAATTTGACGTTTTTAATTCTAAGTCAAATGACGTACGATTATCGCGAATTTTCGGGCCGCCCGTCGTATATAAAATCGCGCGAAGGCGAACGCGAAACGTGCGCAAGGTAATTTTTTTTTCTCCGCATCATCGATCGGACGTGCTTAGGTTGTTTAGTAATTGGGACTTCTGGTTTGTTCGACCTTGCCGGCAGCGAGGTGGACCCGACGTTCTCCCACGATGAGACGCGCATTTCGCAACCGCTACCCACACGATATCTACCGTTTGGACGATTATATTACTTCGTTCCAACAGAAGTTTTCTTACTTTACTCGGTTACGTCCGCGTTTTTTTCGACCCTCCCTGTATATAACACAATTGCACGACCTAGCGAATTTAACGTTTGACATTGACAGGAAAATTGTTGAAATAGTAAGGGTTGCTGTTCTGAAGAGCCAGCGAATGTCTTCGTTTTCAAATAAGTAGATGCCTTCTTCATCTTCAAACGTCAAAGGTTAGCAATCATCAAGCTACGCGTATTTTCTCACCAGATTGATACTGGTGGTGCTGAGGCGTTGGCGCAGGTTTCTTATCCTGGAATTTCTCCTCCTTCTCACTGATCTTCCACTTTTTTTTCCTAGTTTTTCTTCTGTGTCTATTATCATTTTGTTGTTCGTCTCGTAGAATGTATTAGTTCTTTTCTTCCAGCCGTTTTGTCTTCTGTGCTCTCGCTTGACATATTGCCTTCGTAGCTCCGGCTCAAATGCCCGTAAGTTATTTATTTTTTGTTATTGTTTCCATAATTGTTTGTTTGATCCTCCCCTTGCCAACTTTAGCATTAAAGTCGCCCAGGATCATAGTGACGTCTCTTGATTTTGATTGAGCATGTTAAATGAATGAACGAGGGCGAACATGTAGGTGAAGGACAGCGACCTTGGTTTGTCGCAGCTATTATCCTGCCGGTCCCGGTCCGTTTTCGCTCCTCCTAAAACAACGTCTTTTCTTGCTTGTTTTGCGCTAAAGATGTCAGTTTTTGTTTTAACGAAAATCAACTTGTTCAATTGAAACCGGGTGATTCTTGTTCAATTTAATCAATAGAAAGTCGTGTCGAATGTTTTATCGCAAACGTGCAACGTTCCTGTCCATTCTATGATCGCGTAGTGAACGATACGCGGGCGGGAAAATCGAAATCGGAGTTAAATCGGAACGTTTCGTGTTCGAGAGGCATTTATTACGCTGCAGCCTTTTCCGACGTGTAGACGCTTATAAAAAGTGTTGTAAGTCGCCGGTGAAACTGAAATAAGCGGTATGCGATTCATATGCGGAACTACCTATAAATAAACCGTTGTCAGGTAATAATGCGCTTTCTAGCTCAGCCGACGTTCTAAACGCTTCGATTCACCGCTTTGTAGTGTTTTTATTTTTCTATTTGTTTGCTTAAAATCATATCGACGTGTCAATACCATTGGTTGTGGTTTGGATCAACTTTAAGTATGCATAGGAAGCAGTTTTTTTTTCTGTTTTTATTTCCTAAGCACCTTAAAAGCATCGCATAGTCCAAGTAGTATTTGACATTCCCAAAGAAGGGATCTGTAGCGCATGAAGCCCCGAAGAGGGATGTTAGTGTCGTAGTGAGGCTTCATTATCATTATTTAGAACTATTTATTAATATAGCGCGGAAATTATCACATGACTGCCCTTGGTGTTAAAGATTCACCTCCTATAACAATCCAAGAAGGCTCGTGGTTGGTAAAGTGCCAACACATTATTTGGTCAAATTAGAATAAAATTCGTGGTGCTTAGGGTCTTTTAGATAAGGGAGAAGAAACATTAGGGGCCTTTTCTTGCTATCACCGATCTTATTCATGTGTGGTAGCAGCCTGACTGAGATATTTCTAATACTTCCGAAAAAGATTCAGCAGTAAACAAAAAGCCAGATCTTTGGGAGTCAACTTTCATTCGAACGACTTTACTAATATTCACTTGTTTGAGTCTTAGTATCTTGTCAGCTGCCGCTTGTAGATCAAAAATTTTTTTTGTGTCATATCTACTGTGTCTGTGTCTGTCGCACTGAAGCAAGCTGTGACCACTGACAAGGTTCCTCTGTTCAATAGTCCACAAACTCACTAAAAACATAAATAAAAACAATCATTCTGTTTTTATTTTGAGAAATACAGTTATCGCTCCATACAACAATATTCCTTTTTTCTGTAATGCTCATATCGAGGAATTTCGTTATCCTGCCAGTCCTAATAATAGTTCCCAAATGCTTTTTTGTCAAATCGAAAGTATTCATAAAAGTAGATTTACATACAATTACAACATTACCCTCTCCGTCTGGAAGGCTATAACGGGTGGTACAGTTCTACAGAGTGCAGGCCTGCACTCATAGTATTTTTCAAAAATTGGCAATCTCCGTTCGCATTTTAACGACTTGCAGTTAAATTTACATTTACATGTTCTCTGCAAGACAGAAGAATATTTTTTAGGACACAATATTAAAAAAAATACTAAATGTACTAAATACTAACCACTTACGCTAAGCCTGTGAATTCAAACCTACAGCGCACTTGTAGGTTAGGTTTCTTTTCTTCAGCTACAACGTTCGCATTTCTGTTTTTATAGGATCGTCCTGCATTTTTCAGTTGTCTTTGCTCATCACTTAATCTTCCCATTCCTTGTTTTCGACGTTCAAAATTCATTTCGAATACAGAAAACGATTAAAAAACAATGTAAACGGACAACACGTATTACGGCATTTGACCTCTTTGTTGTGAAAATAACAGATCACTTACAGAAGCGTCAATTCTAACATTGTGCCCCCTTGATGGGTCATATTGCATCGCACGTAGGACCTTTTTATATAAAAATCTATTTTTCAAGAAAAAACGGAGCTTAGCCCCCTTGTTACTTCTACTCCTCCATTCCTTCAGAACTTCATTAACAACAGCGCAATCATATATCGGTCCATTTATGGGTATTCCACAAATTCTGCGACACTTA